GGTTGTTAACTTTCTGAGCAGTTTAGCAAACTGGTTGTTGGAAGAAATAATTAGGGCAGAGAACCGGTTGTTAAATTACTTGAATCTCACCACTGAAGTGTTCATGTAATTCCAGAGATGTAATTTCAAGGACGGATTATTTTGGGTAGTAGCATCTCAATTTTCCTTGAGGCCAAATACTCATCAACTTCTTCTGTCTTCCAGAATGTGGAGTATAACATCTTCGAAGGCATGGAGTGTCGTGGGTCTCCGTTAGTGGTCATCAGCCAAGGAAAAATTGTGCTGGAGGATGGTAATCTCCATGTAACTGAAGGGTCTGGCCGATACATTCCTAGGAAACCTTTCCCTGACTTTGTTTACAAACGTATCAAAGCAAGAAGCAGGGTAAGTAACTTGAATCATCACCATCTTTATTGATCTGGTCTTGCAAATTATAAAATAAATACAAAATGGGCCTGTTAAAAGCTGGGCACATCTTGAAGATTAGGAGTTTGCTTTGTTGGGAACTACCGGATCTTTTTGATCACGTGGTTGGAAATGTATGGAAATACAGCCAAGAATTATGAGTTTGTGCTCATCTCAAACTTCCAATCTTCAGACTGGCTGAGTTTCTTGAGAAAATATGGGTTAATATCTCAAAATATGCAGCCTGCTTCTCCGAACCACTGTAGGCCTATTTAATGAGGAAGGCTAGAGTGATGCAGTTCTTGATATAAGTTCTTGATTTAAAAAAAAGGGTTTTCTGCCTTGCAATCCAGGTCTGCACTTAATCTTCCGTGTATTCTTTCGATGCTTCTAATTTGAAATTGTTAGCAAATGTGCTTCGTACAAAGTCCCACAATTGCCCTGGTGCACACCCTATGAGAATACCTGAAGTTTTCTTAAATTTCATTGGAGCATCTTAAGTCTGTCTCCTTGGGGCAAATGTCCCCACAGACCAACATTTTGCATGAAGGCCTGATAAGCTTTTGATGTTCTTCCACCAGCTGTTGGTGGTCTCACAAGCACATGGTTTTACGACAGCAGAAGACTTTGAGGTAGCCTGCCATCATCTGCTGAAGGTGTTATGTTAGCTATATTAAGGAGATCATAAGTAGAAATACTTAAAAAACCAGGGGATGGGTGGAATTAAAGGTTGCATGATAGCGTGGGCCAAAAACTTTGGTTACAACATAGATCTAGTGGATTGGGAAAGAATTTGGAACACAAATTATAAACTAACATGATGAGCAGCACTTAAAGAAAATATGTACAAAATGTTTTATCGTTGGCATTTACCATCAACAAGATTGGCTAAAATGTACCCAAACATGAATCTGAGCTGCTGGAAGTGTAAAAAAGTACAAGGGACTTTTTATCATATATGGTGGACCTGCCCAGAAAG